AAGAATCGCCAATAAAGGTAAGTGTTATGCTGTTAATGTTTCATTATCATGTCCCATTGTATTGTTTGTGTACTACATCTATATTTCATGTAAAAATTTTTTTTGTTTTAATACTTCTGGGTGTCAGGAACGGATTAATTGTATTTACATTATTTCTTATGGGGAAAATTGATTTGAAAATCGTCTTTTTCAATAATCGTCGCACTTCCAAGAACGGATTAACGACGATAAACGAGGGACCACTGTAAATGCTCTGGAAAACGTACAGAGGAGGATGACAAAAATGATCCCATGTATCAGAAATCATCCCTATGAGGATAGACTGAGGGCCCTGAATTTGCACTCTTGAAAGGCATAGAATTAGGGGGGATATGATCGAGGTGTATAAATGGAAAACAGGAATAAATAAAGGGGATGGAAATAGTGTGCTGAAAATTTCCAGCCAAGAGGACTTGTAGCAATGGTTTCAAGTTGGAAAAATTCAGATTCAGGAAGGATATAGGAAAGCACTGGTTTGATAATAGAGTTGTGGATGAGTGGAACAAACTCCCGAGTACAGTTATTGAGGCTAAAACATTGTGTAGTTTTAAAAATAGGTTAGATAAATACATGAGTGGGTGTGGGTTGGACCTGACTAGCTTGTGCTGCTGGGTCTGGTGCCATGCTCCTTCCTTAAGTGAATATGACCTAACCAGACTGGGTGGGTCATTGGACTAATCCGGGGAGAGGGGGGGGAGACATGGACCTGCTCTGCATGGGTCAGTAGACCTGTTGCAATGTTCCTTCTTTCTTATGTTCTTAACACAGTATTTATGTTCCTGAAAATGCCATGTTAGGTAAAACCGTGTTAGGTGAACTGAAGAACTTGTGGGAAAAATAGGGTTATGTTTCTGGGAGCCTCCAAAAACCCAAACAACTTTTTTTCAGACCAACAGATCTTACAAAAATAAAAGTGAATATGTAATTGTAGTTCATTGTCGTGATGTATTATGTTGTTTTCACTGCTTAAGATTACAAATGCAACAGAAGTAATAGTATTTCTTACCTTAAATTTTGGGTGCTGGTGTTTGTGGATGTCTGTGGAGAGTGGAGAGTTATGCTGTGGCCCTACTGGGCTGAGGTGTATGGTAGAGGTTCTAGTACTTAAGTCGATGGTTGTATTCGAGTGTGCATAAATTCTGTAATGGGTTTCTGTTCTATTTTACCCCACAGTACATTATACAACTGACGGTAAGACATCAGCTGCTCTAGACACTGTTTCAGGGTCCTCCTCAGTGAAAAAGTCTAACTCTAAGTCAGTAAATCAGTCAAGTCAGTAAGTCAGTCAGTCAAGTCAGTAAGTCAATCAAGTAAGTCAGCCAGTAAATCAGTCAAGTCAGTAAATCAGTCAAGTCAGTCAGTCACTTCAGTAAGTCAGTCAGTAAGTCAATTCAGTAAGTCAGTAACTCAATCAGTAAGTCAGTCAGTCATCACACAAACTCGTATTTTCCTCATTCTTATGTGCTGACCCACAACAAGGTGGCAGCTTGAGCTGGGGAAATTTTTTCCACGTCCACAAACAGGACCGTGTAAAGTTAAGTTTACGAAGTGTTGTATAAAATTGTGCCGCAATTTTTCAGTCGTGCTATAACCAAATCGTGCCAAAATAAACTCTTGTTAAATGGCGGTCTACTGTATATTGTTTTGGTGCAGTTCAGTCAGAAAAATGTGTACATGTGAATGACTTAAATTCTTTCTACATTTCTTGAGAGTTGATATTTATACTGTAATTTCTTTTCTTTTACCTTATTAATTTTATGTGTTACTTTATAAAACACACATAATTTTGGTACGAGGGTGTTTGTTGTACAAGTAGATTTGGTGGGTTCCTATTATTTTGGTACAATTTAGTCAAGATACGTAACTTTTTTTTTTTTCCCCCTCTTTGCAGATGAGTACTCACTGTGCACTGAAGATTTGCAATAAAGATGAGAGGGATAGGGCAGTAAAAAATCAACACAAATTACTGCACCACAGAATACATATCTGGAAAGGATAAGTAAGTGAAAGTTCTCTCTCTTTTCCAGCATACGAGATACCTCTGCATTAGATGTATCTTAATTTTATGATTTGTTTTAAGAGAAATATACACAAATAATTCATACATAAGAAACTGAAACTTAAACCATGACTAATTGATGGTCCAAGTCAGGTTGAAACATAGTATGTTTCATTTTCTTGCTTGTGGGTTATTTGTGTATTGGTCCAGCCAGAGTATTATGCATTTTTAATCTTTTTAAGACTTTAGTGTATATTATCATGCATGTGCATTTATTCATGGAGGCAAAAAGGGAAATGTATCAGAGTATAGTGGTAACAATGCTGTTTATATAGGCATCAAGCATGAGTTTGGAATGTTGCAGTGAGAAGGCTGGAGGCAGTAGAGATATGTTTGAGAGCAATGTATGGTATGAATTTTATGCACAAAATTTGGAATTTGGAGATTAGAAGGTGTGGAGTTACCAAAAGTATTATTTAGAAGGCTTAGGAAGAGTTACTGAGGCAGCCTGCACTTTAACCCTTTGACTGTTGCAACCCCCAATTCTGAGGTGTCTCCTGGTGTCGCAAAATTTAAAAAAAAAAAAAAAAAAAAAATCTTATGAAATGATAGAGAATCTTTTCCCGATTGTAAAGACACAAAAAAAACGAAATTTGATGGAAAACTGATGGAATTACGCTCTCGCGAAGTTAGTGACCTCGGCGATATTTACAAATCGGCGATTTCGCCCACTTTGAGCCCTATTTTCGGCTAATTCCATTATTCCAGTCAACCAAACTCATAGCTATTTCTTCAGAACTCCATTTTTTTCCATCGATTGAGTACAAGAAACTGCCCATTTACCGATTTCAACTACCCAATAACATGGTCAGAAATTTGCAATTTGGCCAGTTTCACGAAAATTAAAAAATATGACAATTTCAAAATAAGGACCAGAATGAACAATGCAGACATTCCTGGCTCTAAAATAACATTTTCTTTGTTCATCAGTCATGTCTCCAGGCCCCTCTGATATTACTCTTGCTTTTTATTTTGAAATTTTATTCAAACAAAAAATAGAAGATTTACTGTTATGCAGACTACTGCAATACTGTAATAATTGTAAAAATTACATCAACCCATTCATGACTGCATATTAGAATGGCTATTTGGACATTTATTGGACAATGACATCATTTGTTTACTTTTGAACATCGGCAAAAATCAAACATTTCCCGCACTTTGTGCTCCATTTCCAGGTTCTTTTTATAGTAAAATTAATCAAAATCACCTCTATTTCTATAATATGTTTTCCATTCTATCAAATGAGACCAAGAAAACGAGAATACAACCACAAATACTATACGAAAATAGACCACAAAGTCGGCATTTTAATTAAAAAAAATGGTCTGAGTTTTTTTTTTCTCATTATGCACTGCGTGCTCCAGGATTTTTTTTATGTGGTGCACACTGACCACACAGACCCATTCTCTCACATGTGGGCCTACCAGCTTTCTCCTGCCTGATTTGAAGCCGCTAGAATTTATGAGTATATATACGTCAAACACGGTACCTCGTGAACATATATACATGTATACGGCCGCGACAGTCAAAGGGTTAAAGGAGGGATTTAGGATATTGGCAGTTTGGAGGGATATGTTATATATCTTTATAAATGCTTCTAAACTGTTGTATCTGGGCACCTCGACAAAGACATTGATTATGTAGGAGTGAGGTGAAAGTGTTGAATGATGATGAAAGTATTTACTTTTTGGGGATTTTCTTTCTTTTTGGGTCACCCTGCCTCGGTGGGAGAAGGCTGACTAGTTAAAAAAAAAAAAAAAAAAAAAAATAGGATGATTAGGGCATATAAACCTGGGGTGGAGGTAAGGAGGTATAGGGGTCATCCTAAGTATTGGAGGGAGGTTTTGAGTGCTAGGTGCTTGGACATGCATGTTAAAATGGAGTAGGTGAAGGTTTTTATGATTTGAGCTCTTAGAGTGTGATCAAGGTAACATGAAGGGATTCAGGGGAAACTAATTAGCCAGATTTGAATCCTGGAGGTGGGATTATTAATATTATAATTATGGGGGAGCGCTAAACCCGTAGGATTATACAGTGCATGGGGATGGAAGGTATTCAGGCTCAGTTCAGGGAACCAGAGCACAGATCCAATTCCCTAGATCAAGAGCCCCTCACCAGTGTCAAGGAACCTCCCTTGAGGGGCCTGGAGGTGGGAAGTACAGTGTTTGCACTCTGAAAGAGGGGTTGGGGATTTGGTTTGGAGGGTCATCTGAGCTGTGATGTCAGCATCCTTCTAGCAAGATTGATTGAGTGACAGTGAAGGTGTTTTCTTCTTTGTGGGCTCACTCTACTTTGATGGGAGATGGCTGATGTTAAAAAAAAAAAATACATATTACTGCAACCAGCAGATGTGAGAGGGGTAGTGAGGGTAATAAAACATTGAATTTGTCATACTGCCATCTGTATGACAAGTTCAAATTGTAAGTTCAATTGTAAGGAGGGCTGGTTATTTGTGGCAGCAAGTTGTGGAGTGATATGTAGTGACTTGTGATGGTGGATGTGTTGTGAAGGATGAGGGTGATAGATGGTGGCAGGCTGTGGAGGGTGGATTTAACCTGGTTATTCTCCCAGGTGCTGTTTGATTTATGGGTTTATTGCTTCTCTATGAGTATAATACTAGTTTTAAATGTATTCTTTTTATTTTTCATTAGTAATATTTTGTCAGGCCTGCACAAGATGCAGGGAGTCTTTCAACTTGTATATTTTTTTAAAAATCTTGTATAAGAGTAAATACAATATATCTTTAGATGTGATAAGCCACATAATAGCATCTTGGGTAAAAATTAGTCTTGCAAACTGTCACACTGGGTTGCCCAGAGACTTTCCTGTAATACAAAATGGTCACTCCAGAAAGTATTTACATATCAACATTTTAGGTATAATATTTATAAGCTAGTCATATTGGACATCTTTACATTTATTAAACTATTTACATAAATATTTACACAAAGATTTTTGTACTGCAAATAATAATATACAACTTGGAAGTTACACAAGTTAACAATGCCATAAAGGGATTGAAAGAGTATTAATAACATGTGGACTTGAGTGAAGAACTCTGCATGAGCAGTTTGACTGACAAGAAGACATTTTGGCAGCTTATCTGAGATCATTACTATTGCTCAATTAGGAAAACAATATTCACACTGTGCATTACAGTAAAACATTCAGGGTCACATATCACTACCTTATTCAACATAGGACTTTACTGATGCGTACGTATGTTGAAAAAATTACTTATGAACAATGAACATTAATAAATATATACAGAAAAATATACACAAAAGTCTTCTGCATACACAGAGTACACTTAGTGCACTACACAATGTAAAGACCAATTTCTCAAGAGAGCTTTTTAATTATGTACAGAATTGCACTGAGCATCTAACACTGTTTGCTTCCTGAAAGGTTTTCATGTGCAGGAATTTCAAACCTGTCTATATTGGATAAAGTGTTTCAATTTTTACAAATTATTCTCAAGTTATCTGAAAATGTACACTTTACAATACTGTCACTGAACTCTGCACACAATGGTGAATCAGACTGGTAAATAAATTTCCAAGTTGGACATGGCTCACATTTCAAGAGATTACACAAGCAAAATTCATTAAATTTATACCATTCGTATACATATTGCTAAGAGTGATCACTGCTATACACAACTATATATAACACTGCCACTTGCAATATTGAGGAACACTGGTACAATACTGTAAAGATTGTTCTTTTGTTTCATGAACACTGAAGTTGTTATTTAAGCCTATATGTACAGACAGAACTTTTGCCTTTGGCTACAATTTCTCAGTAATATTCAGTTATAATCACCAACCGACAAGTTTACATTTGTAAGTCAATTTAAACATATTTTTCTGTTCATTTTGATAATACAGCCTTTCCTCACTTAGCGATATACTCATTTACAGACGCCTTGGACTTATGACGGGCTATCTGACCAGCATTCATACCTAAATAATGTACAGCGGACTCCCGGATTTCGTAGTCATCGGATTTCGTGATATTCGGAAATAGTAACGTCATTGAACTTGGAAATAGTCATTCGTCCTGAACGTGTCTGCACAGCCCGACACACCATTTACAGCCGGTGTGCCAGTGTTTATCAGCCAGTGAGGACGATCCCGTGCATTCATATGATACATTTCGTATTATTCCATTCTTTTTAGTGCTTGTAACTGCTAAATAAGCCACCATGGGCCCAAAGAAAGCTTCAAGTGCCAGCCCTTTGGTAAAGGTGAGAAACACTATAGAATTCAAGAAAGCCATCATTGCAAAATGTGAAAGTGGAGTACGTGTGGCAGAACTGGCCAGGTTGTATAACAAACCCCATACAACCATCACTTCTACTGTGGCCAAGAAAAAGGAAATCAAGGAAGCTGTTGTTGCAAAAGGTGCAAATATGCTTACAAAACAGAGATTGCAAATACTGGAAGATGTGGAGACTTTGTTGCTGGTGTGGATCAACGAGAAACAACTATCAGGAGATAGTGTTCTGCAGTTGGTAAGTTGTGAAAAGGCAAGGTAGTTGCATGTGGATCTCGTGAAGAAAATACCTGGAGCTAGTGCTGATGTTAGTGAATTTAAGGCCAGCAAAGGCTGGTTTGAGAGATATAAGAAGCGTAGTGGCATACACTGTGGTAAGGTATGGCGAGGCTGCAAGTTCTGACAAATATGTGGCTGAAAAATATGTTCAGGAATTCAAGGGGTACATAGAAGCTGAACAATTCAAACCCCAACAAGTGTTCAATTGTGACAAAACAGGCCTCTTTTGGGAGAAAATGCCAAAGAGGACCTACATCACACAGGAGGAAAAGGCACTCCCAGGGCACAAGCATATGAAAGACAGGCTAACTCTCATGTTCTGTAGTAATGCTAGTGGGGATTTCAAAGTGAAGCCTTTACTGGTGTATCACTCTGAAAATCCAAGTGTGTTCAAGAAAAAGTGTCTCCAAGAGTAAATTGTGTGATGTGGAAGGCAAACAGTAAGGCATGGGTCATAAGGGACATTTTCCTTGATTGGTTCAATGAAGTGTTTGGCTCCAGTGTGAAGAAATACCTCCTGGAAAATAAACTGGAACTCAAGTGCCTCCTGGTAATGGACAATACACCTGCTCATCCTCCAGACTTGGAAGAGCAAATGGTGAAGTTTTGGTTCATCACAGTTAAGTTCTTGCCCCCCCTCATCCAGCCCATGGACCAGCAGATCATTTCAAACTTCAAAAAACTGTACACCAAAGCAATGTTTCAAAGGTGCTTTTATGTGACCTCACACACTCACTTGATGCTAAGAAAGTTTTGGAAAGATCACTTCAGTATCCTCCACTGCATAAACCTTATAGGTAAGGCTTGGGAGGGAGTGACTTCCAGGACTTTGCTTGGGGAAAATTGTGGCCAGAATGTGTCCAAGAGTGGGATTTTGAAGGGTTTGGGGCTGACCCTGATGAGCCTATGGCTGTTGTGGAAACTATTGTGGCACTGGGGACTACCATGGGACTGGATGCAGGTAGTGAGGATGTGGAATACCTGGTGGAGGACCACAATGAAGAGCTGCAAGGCCTTCATCTGCAACAGCAACAGACCACAGCTCAGGAAATTGCTTCAGAGGAGGAGGAAGGTGCCTTCTTCAAAGATGAAGGACATTTGTGCAAAGTGGAGTGAGGTACAAATATTTATGGATGAACATCACCCTGACAAAGCTGTTGCAGGCCGTGTTGGCAACATGTACAACAATGTTGTGTCCCATTTTAGGGAAGTTTTAAAGAAACGCCAGATACAGACCTCTCTGGAACGCTTTTTTTGAGCGACGGGTCCAGTGACTCTCAAACTGGTCATAGTGGCATTAAAAAACAAAGAAGGGAAGTAACCCAGGAAAAGGACTTGGTACCTGAAGTCATTATGGAGGGGGATTCCCCTTCCAAACAAACAACAGTACACCTCCATCCTCTCGTCCTCCCATCTCATCAACAAGTCTTCAATAAAGGTAAGTGTCATTTTATTGTTTTATTTTGCACGTCTCATTGTTTTCTGTGTAGGTAAATGTATATTTCATGTAAAAAAATATTTATTTTTAATACTTTTGGGTGTCTGGAATGGATTAATTGGATTTACATTATTTCTTATGGGGAAAACGAATTTGGAAATCGTCAGATTCGGGTATGGTCACTCTCACAAACGGATTAATTATGATAACCAGGGGTCCATTGTGTATCAGAGCTGGTTTCCTCTATTCAGTTTTTTCAATATACAGTACATTACTGCATAAACATTTAAAAATATACCAGAAATGTTGTTAATGGTGCAAAGGTGACATTAAAACAATATCAAAGATGGTCGACACCAACTCACTACCATTATAGTATGCTCCTCGCTTAACAATGTTTAATGATGCTGTCTTAGGAACGGAACTCTGTCGTTAAGTGAGGAGAGGCTGTATTTATGCAGGGATTCAGGGAAACCGGCAGGCTGGAGATGGGAAGTACAGTGCCTGCACTCTGAAGGCAGGGTGTTAATGTTCCAGTTTTATAACTGTAGTGTAAGCACACCTCTGGCAAGACAGTGATGGAGTGAACGATGGTGAAAGTTTTTCTCTTTCAGGCCATCCTACCTTGGTGGGAAACGGCCAATGTGTTGATAAAAAAAGAAAATTGCAAGCAAGATTTGAAAGTATGCTAGTCATGCATGCTGCATCCAAGGAATCCTCATGTCAATACAACTAATCACTGGAAATGCTCATTATCACACAAATGATCAGTACCTTGTACTTCACCTCAGATTTCTTGAGCTACACAGTGTTTACTATTGAAAGCAACAAAAATTGAAATGGCTACAAATAAGGACTAGTTAGTCAATTAAAATTCATTAACCAATGCATTCAACATATCAAGACTCATTGACTGGTATGACTATTCATTGTATTCAGAGCATAATTTTAAAATACATTTTGACATACAGTATTTAGTCAAAATTTATGATGTTTAAAATTCTATTTTTTGCTTTACTGCTCCTTGTCAGTACACATGCATTTATGTATGAAATTATATGTTCTTGGAAACCCATACAAAAAGACCTTACCATGCTTTTGCTCATTACCCTGAGACATGTCTTGAAATATAGACAAAATCTTGAGTAGTCCTGTGTCTTTTCTTGTGAGTTAAGAATATATATAATTATGTCCCAAACATTTTCAGCTTTGCCAATATAATATTCCAGTTGTTAATTAATTTTTTCCATACTTCTTGTCACTTGTTTTTCTTTGTGCTATAGGTGCTTTGACTGCCAAACGTCATTAGCACCAAACTTTTCGCCAGTGATGAGTTATCCATGCTGGGACTCCACGATGTCCCCTTCTATGTGTCAGACGGTGGTTTCAGTGCTCTCTTTGCTGCAAAAAGGACAAAGTTATTATCTTGCACCAAAACTCAATATCCTATGTAAACATTTCTAATTATACATGAACAGTTATGATTAAAAATGCTCTATATACAGTACTATAAGTCATGCTTAGTAATATCTTGAATATACAGTATTTCTATTATATTCATGAGCCTGTAATGGTAATCAGTAGTACAATGTACTCAAAACTACAAAAAAAAAAATGAAAACCAGATAGGATATATACCAGTAAGAAAAGAAACCTTAAGCACAGGAAAGTATGAAAATTGAGAAGTACTGTACAGTGTTGTAAAAGAATGGAGAGGTTCATCTATAACATACTCAAGTATTAACTTGTGTTTTACATGCTGAATAAGGTCATTTACTCATATCAGGAAGCTTACTCATTTAAAAAATATACAAAACTTCACTCTTTTTAAGGCCAGTGTAGTTACATTGTATGTATAACTTTAGATGAAGTAAGCTTTGATATTATCCTTACCAAGTTTACCTTAATCTTCCCTATGGATGGCAAAGAAAATGAGACAGAATGTAATTACAAAGAAATTTAAATAAAATGCCCATTATTTTAATATAAACTTTGCCATTATTTTTGTAAAAGGGCAAAACAAGCTTTTTAAAAATGAAAATGTGGATCTAGAGAATATGATCTCCACTGTCCACTACCATAGGGTCTTATACATGAAATTTTGAACTTTTAACTCTTTATATTGTCAATTTTTATTGACATTATTAATTACTGAGCTGATTCAGTACCGGTAATAACTTAATTTTTCTCGATAAGAGAATGTGTATAATTTTGGCCTTTCAGAATATATCAGGATAAAAAGTCCTGTATTAAAACAGCAAGCTTACTCAGAGTCAGAGATGCCTAAAGTAATGGCGGAGATCTTGTGAGTGGCGACAAGGGCAGCCGGAAGGGTTGGGGGAGGCGAAGGTGGAGGGGGGTCGGAGGGAGAGATGTTGAGATTGTTTACTTCCATCGTGTTGTCCCCCCCACCTATACTGCTCACCACGGGTGCTGGTAAAGCCTCAGGACTTGGGTCTGTTGGCAGACACACATGATAAATGCAATGTTCACACCTTGTTTCTACTAGTAATTATGCCTCTCCTACTACATATGTATAGTATACTGCACTTCTTAAGCAGAGCTAGTCAAGTATTGTTATTATTATAATGTTTAAGAGGGGAGTGCTAAACCTGTAGGGGTTATACAGCACCTGGGGAATAGGAGGCATCCAAGGAAGTGGAGAACAAGTTAAGGTCCTTGGAAGAGTTAGCCAAACAAGCTGAAATGTTCTAAAAATAGATAGTTTTGAAAATTATCTTTAATGCACTACTATATATTTTTATGAACAGTGTACTGTATTTTTTTTTTTGCACCAAATTAACCTAGCACAAATTACCATAATATAAATTTACCTTAATCTCACCTAACCTATCTTAGGTCACCATAAATTTAATATTTTTCATCAACGAAGTATTTTAACCTTATATCCAGAACTAATTTTACAGCTACTGCAACAAAGAATGTACACTGATCATATGAGGCAGAATACTTATTGCATTATAAGCCAGAATTGCATGCTATAGCCTAAAAGCATGACAAATTCACAGCCAGGATGGTATATGTGAATTTTTTAATACTGAGGATGTTATTTTACGTCATATTGCTTTCATTCTTTGGTTGTAGTTACTTTTAATTACTAAATATTGTAGTGAATAACTGTCCAAATGAATATACTGTACTGTACATGTAAAAAAAAAATTCTCATTAGCCCATTACATGAAGGATTTTGAACATGAAACTACAGTATACCATTTTATGTATGATTGGTAGCAGGGGGAGGAAAGTTAGAAAAATAGATATTACCTGCAGAAAAACCAGAAAAATACATTTGAAAGTACAGACTTAACTGTTGAAATATACTGGTCCCATCATGACATGTCAAGAAATAAAATAAAAAAATTTGTAGAGTATTTTGGATTGTAATTTTCAACAGTGACCACAACAATTTGAACGGCAAAAGATTAGTAACAAAACACACATTTCTGGAAATGTTGGACAGTTATTACAATAATGTACCTGGGTGGAAGTTTGTTAACATTATTAGAGTTACGTTGGGTTTTGTACTCAATGATAATACATATGAACCTGGAATTCCTCTAGCATATGCAGTATGATCACCTTTCTCTTTTAAATATTTATTGCCTGCTTTAGTAAATTTACAATCATAGGCTCATGATAGTACAATGATGTCTATCAATATAATAACAATAATTTAAAATAATAATGGCTGCATGTCATGAAGGGATCAGGAGGTAGAAAGCATCGTATGAGGATAATTATACTGTGAAGCAAAATAAAAATCTGACCTGTAAACTGATAACTGTTTAAATGTTTTTGGATGAACTAAAGGTAAAAAACTTGTTACTGCCACCCATGGTGATTAATACCTTCTGCCAAATTATGAAGGAATCTCTTTTGACTCTGGGGTGTGTAGATAACTTGCTGCTGTTGATGGGTAGATGGAGAGTATCGCTTCTTGTCAGCACTATCTACACTTGTTCTGCTTGCCCGAGACTCTGTTCTCACTACAAGGTTTTCTGGTGATGTTCGTTTAATATCGTGAGAGTAAGGATTTTCCTGTAAGTAGGAATTATCATGTGTGCGCATCTGAGATGAATCTGGCGAGTAGCTTCTGGTGTCTGGTGAGTAGCGTCGAGAATCTACTGTAGAAAACTTTTTGGGATCTGGAGAATATCGGTGCTTTGTGCTTGGTGAGTAGGTTCCAAACTGGTTCTCGGCAGGAGAATATCGACTGCGAGCCTAGAAAAAAAAAAAAAGATAAAAATATACAGTGGACCCTCTCTACTCAAACAAACATGATGTGCCAGAACTTCACTGTAAACTCTTCTGTGTTTTGCAATTTTTTGGTGTTTCTTTATAATATTTGTATAAGTCACCATGGGGCCTATGAAGATTAGTGATAATAGCCAACCAAAAAGAAAATTGGTTGGGAAGAATTTGTTCGATACTCGATCGGATTGGCACTTGAACAGCCTTCTGGAATGAATTAAGTTTGAGTACTAAGGTTCCACTGTAGTAGTAGAGTGCATAAGGCATAGCTTCTATACAAACCAAACTACAGTGGAACCCCGGTTTACGATATTATTTCATTCCAGAAGTATGTTCAGGTGCCAGTACTGACTGAATTTGTTCCCATAAGGAATATTGTGAATTAGATTAGTCCATTTCAGACCCCCAAACATACACATACAAACGCACTTAGATAATTGGTCGCAATGGGAGCTGATCGTAAACCGGGGGTCCACCGTATTTATCTGCCCAAAATGCCCAGGCATGAAAATGGCTTTCTTTGTACTTAACTAATGAAAATTGTAAATACACACTGTAACCTTGCAAAGAAATAAAATCTTTATCCTTCTTTTTATCTTTAACATAAAAATGCATGTACAGTAGACCGTCGATTAACAAGGTAGTTACATTCCTGAAAATGCAGTGTTAGATGAATCTGTGTTAAAGGAACTGAAAACCTCATGGGAAAAATAGGGTTATGCTCTGGGACCCCCAAAAAGCAAAACAAGTTTTTTTTAGATCTCCATGCAGTTACTGTTCATTGTTGTTATGTATGCTTTTTGTGTTGCCGAAAGCTATAAATGCAACAGAAATAATATTTACCTTAAATTGTGGTTGCTGGTGATTGTTGATGATTGTGAAGGGAATGGAGAGATGCTGTGGCCCTACTGAGCTGAGGTGGATGGTAGTCAAGTCAGTTCAGTCATGTGAGTCAGCCAAGTCAATCAAGTGAGTTTGTCAGTAAATCAGTCAAATCATTCAGTAAATTGTCAAGTTAGTCAGCCATAAACTCTAGCCATGTCCATGAAATGTGAATTACTTTTAAGTTTATTAACTTTGTCTTGCCACTTCCTGCATCACTTGCATGCCTCCTGGTGCCATGGTTCACTTGGCATATGCAATATATGGTGATGAAAAGACCAAATCCAATTCACAAACAGTGCTGTGTATCGTACTGGACGTGTGTACAGAGCACTAGGCAACTAGGCCTCCCTCGCAAAGACAATGGCCTGACCCAGAGTCAGACTGCCTAGTGCTTATTACATAGAGGGGGAAAATCCCCGCTGTCTAGCTTATGGCGTTGAAATTTTTTTCCTACCCTCAAGCGCAACCATATAAAACAAATTTTATGAAATGTTAGACAAAAATATGGCAATAGTGTAATGGAGAAAACGTGCAAAAAGAATCCATGTTAATCAATGGTCTACTGTACAGTGCTTACACTTTTTTTTTTTTTTTTCAACAAGTCGGCCGTCTCCCACCGAGGCAGGGTGACCCCCAAAAAAAAAAAAAAGAAAATCCCCAAAAAGAAAATACTTTCATCATCATTCAACACTTTCACCACACTCACACATTATCACTGTTTTTGCAGAGGTGCTCAGAATACAACAGTTTAGAAGCATACACAACATATCCCTCCAAACTGCCAATATCCCAAACCCCTCCTTTAAAGTGCAGGCATTGTACTTCCCATTTCCAGGACTCAAGTCCGACTATATGAAAATAACCGGTTTCCCTGAATCCCTTCACATAATTATATATTTTAAAATACTAATATACATTAGTTCATGAGAACATGGCCCGGTCTAAGACTAGGCTAAACACATTACAGAAGGCCTGGACAAAAGCATTAACAAGCTTCACATTAAGTAAAATACACAGGAGGGATCCACTTTATGGCACTTTGCTTTACAGTGATTCGCTAATACAGACACTCCAAATTATAACAAAAAATTTGTTTAAATGGCTCCCTGATTTGCTATTACAGTGTCCACACACCACTGTGTTTGCATCCTCTGTGTCTCTTGATTATGTCTGGAAACTTTCCAAAATTTCAAGTGTTTTAAAGTTATTGCATACTTTACATATAGTACTCTGATGACTGTACTTATGTGTACCTGTACTTAAATAAATTTACACTGTGCTGGCATGCAGGTACACATTAAAATCACTAAAAGTGTCTCAATAGTATTGAAAATGCAATAATAATAACTGCACTGGGGCAATTTAAATGTCATATATTACATTATTATGGGCAATTTCATTAACCCTTTAACTGTCCAAACATTGACCCAAATTCTTACTGCAAGTGCTCTAAATATAGATTGACGTTTTAATTTTCCTGCCTCCAAATTTGGCACAATAGGCCTGAGAAACCTAGTCAGTATAGAATGGGTCTTTACATTCAGTGTGCACAGTATTAAAAAAATCTGGGACTACTTAGTACCTTGTGGGAGCACCAGTTCAATTGAGTGCCAGCTGAGTAAATAGCATGGCAAACCCCAGGGATTCACTAATGCCATGTCGTATTAACACACCCCTTTTAATGGGAAAGTGATGTTGACCCAGAGTTTAGTGGCTTTGAGATGGATGTGGCTACAAGTGGTCACACACACACACACACACCCCATGGACCCATTCTCTCATAGCTAGGCCCAAATTTGCCACTCACTACTCATCTGAGTAAGCTGAGCTCATTACAGTACTACAGCATAGACCTCAAAAGGGTTAACAGCTACACGTGCAAGGAATAAAGTACATGCTGTGGCAAAAATAATGTTCAGAAATAAGCCAAGTAATCTACAACTGTAATATAAATCATTCAAATCTGTACATAAATTAATAATTTACTTTAATTGTTGGTACAGTAGACCATTATATTACATGGTAGTTACGTTCCTGAAAATGCTGTGTTAAGTAAATCTAGTTAGATAAACTGAGGAACTTATGGGAAAAATAGGGTTATGTTCCTGGGAGCCCCAAAAAAACCCAAAGAACTTTTTTTTTTAGACCTCCAGATCTTACAAAAATAAAAGTGAGTATGTAATTGTAGTTCACTGTCGTGATGTATTACATTGATTTTACTGCTTAAGACTACAAATGCAACAGAAATAATAGTATTTCTTACCTTAAATTGTGGGTGCTGGTGTTTGTGGATGATTGTGAAGAGAGTGGAGAGTTATGTTGTGGTCCTACTGGGCTGAGGTGGATGGTAGAAGTTCTGGTACTGGAGTGTGCATAAATTCTGTAATGGATTTCTGTTCTATTTTACCCCAAAAAGCATACAACTGACGGTAAGGCATCTGCTGCTCTAGACACCATTTCAGGGTCCTCTTCAGTGAAAAAAGTCTAACTTTAAGTCAGTCAGTAAATCAGTCAAGTCAGTCAGTTATTCATCACACAAACTCATATATTTACCTCATTACTTTTAATTGCAAAGTGACGCTTCATTACAGCCACAGGTTATCTTACCTCTATTTTCTTCATTAACTCAGACTTAAACGCTTATACCTTTTCCTGCCACTTTCAGCAACACTGATATACCTACTGGGTGCCATGACTACTTGGCAGATACAAGATTTTTTTTTTTTTTCAACAAGTCAGCCGTTTCTCACCGAGGCAGGGTAGGGTGGCCCAAAGAGAAAGAAAATCCCCAAAAGGAAAATACTTCCATCATCATTCAACACTTTCACCTCACTCACATGTAATCACTGTTTTTGCAGAGGTGCCCAGAATACAACAGTTTAGAAGTGTATACTGTATGTATAAAAATACACAATATATCTCTCCAAACTGCCAATATCCCAAACCCCTCCTTTAGAGTGCAGGCATTGTACTTCCCATTTCCAGGACTCAAGTCCGGTTATATAAAATAACCGGTTTCCCTGAATCCCTTCACAAACACAGCTAGCTCCTAAGATGGAATGGAACTGAACACATATTTACAAAGGCTGGGATGGTGGTGGCAGGGGATGGCGGGAGGTCTCCCCCGCTGACCCACAACAAGGCAGCATCTCGAGCTGGTAAAAATTTTTCTGCGCCCGCAAACGGAACCGTGTAAAGTTAATTTTACGAAGTGTTGTATAAACTTGTAACGCAATTTTTCAATAGTGCAATAACCAAAACGTGGCAAATAAATCCATTTAATATAATGGTCTACTGTAATAACAAATATCCTAGGTGATTATTTATATGGTAAACCTAAGAGATGCATCAGAAACAATGAAGGAATGATTAATGGTTGAAGATGTTTACTTGGGGTTTACCTGGGGAGGGTGAACGCCCCCGCGGCCCGGTCTGAGACCAGGCCTCATGTATCCAAGAAGTTAAAACATTGACTGACCTGCTCCATGTAGCGAGACAATGAAGGACGAGACTCTACACGCAGGTTGTCTGCTTTATCTGGCATCTCATTATCTGACGCTGTTGTGGTGGATAATCTCTCACTTGCCCACAGTGGTGATGTCACATTATGTTCTGAGAATTATAATCACATTTTTAAGTCAAGAATATTAAAATGTAAATACCTAAGTGATAGGGAAAATAATACTGTGACTGCTTTCCTTATCTGTCTTACCCAAAATTTTGGGATAATGACAGGCATCAAGAAAGGTAACTTGATGCCAGTGAAAGACTCATTATCAAAAGAATTGGAGCTACCTTCCCTTTCCTTGGATCAAATCTAATTACATTTATCAGGTGCTGTATGACCCTATACAGGTATACTCTTCCCCATGAATTAGCACTTCCCATGATAATAACTGAATACAGTATCTCACAATGTTTATAGCGAATATATTGCCAAATAATTATTTCCCTAAAAAACTGTTTGGATTATGTTGATGATAAATTTGACAGTATTCATCCTCTACTAACCTTTATAAATGCCTGGGTATGCAGGTGGGAGCTGAGAGGACCAGTGTGTGGCATAAAGGGGGCGTATATTATGTAGGAGAGGGGAGCCAGCAGCCCCTGCACCACCAGAACTGCTCATCATGCCAGGTGGTGGTGGTGGTAGAGCTTCTGCTGTTGTGTCTAAATCATAGATGTTGGGCAGGTAACTAGATGGCTTGGGTGGAACTTCTACAAATGAAAAGGATCAAATTAAGTTATTAATATTCATATTATTTCACTGTCTACTTGTTACTTTCTACATCAATACTGTACTAATATATTTTATATTATTATGCCTCTTAATGTAGTTTTTCTGTATCAATATTATGCATAAAACTTAATTTATTTTTTTAGCTCATCACTCATCTCCCAACAAGGTAGGGCAATCCTATAAAAGGAAACACATTCACTATCATTCACTCAATCACTTATTTTGCCAGAGATATGCTGACCAGTGGCTGCTTGTTTACAGGCACTGCGGAACTGCAGCGCCCACTATTTTCACTCGATATTATCGATAACATTCAATATACTGTAATGAGTTTTTTCTTCTTTTTTTATACTTGTACATTATATAATCCTTAAGCTTAATGTCAGTAGCCATCCCGTAGTACATGACAATACAGTGGAACCTCTACTTGCGAGTTCAATCCATTCCATGACCTTGCTCGCAACTGGATTTGCTCGTTTGCAGAGTCAATTTTCCTTATTTAAATTAAGTGAAATGCAATTAATCCATTCCAGTGGAATTCTGTACTTCAATAATTTCGCTAATATGAACTCTATGGCTTATTTATCTATCTCGCTTCATCTAATATGACATAATAAACAATATAACATACAAACCTGATATATACTTTAAAATGAATAAAATATATCATTCATGTGGTGGTATGGGCGGTGTCGGCAGTGGACGAGAGTTTGTCTGGAGACCGGGCAAAATAGTTCATGAATAATTTCGCTAATATCATCTATATGGCTTATTTATCTATCACAGTTCATCTAATATGATATAACAAACAATATAAATAGCATAGAAACATGATATATACTCTAGAATGAATAAAATATGTCATTATGTAACAGGTGGAGGTGGCCATAACCACTCCCTCTTTGTTGTGGTAAGCACTGCCATCTAGTGACAGCCTTTTGAGGCCATCTATTATAATAATTATATGTAGTACATTATTATATATGTATTATTATTATATATGTATTATTATTATATATGTATTATTATTATATATGTATTATTATTATATATGTATTATTATTATTCATATATTATTATTATTATTATTATGAAAGGGGAAGGTACCTAGGGATTGGTGGAGAGCATGTATAGTCCCTTTATATAAAGGGATGGGGGACAAAAGAGATTGTAAAAATTATAGAGGAATAAGTTTACTGAGTATACCAGGAAAAGTGTATGGTAGGGTTATTATTGAAAGAATTATAAGTAAGACAGAATGAAGGATTGCAGATGAGCAAGGAAGTTTCAGGGTGGGTAGGGGATGTGTAGATCAAGTGTTTACACTGAAGCATATATTATTTTTATTTTATTATCACACTGGCCGATTCCCACCAAGGCAGGGTGGCCCGAAAAAGAAAAACTTTCACCATCATTCACTCCATCACTGTCTTGCCAGAAGGGTGCTTTACACTAGTTTTTAAACTGCAACATTAACACCCCTCCTTCAGAGTGCAGGCACTGTACTTCCCATCTCCAGGACTCAAGTCCGGCCTGCCAGTTTCCCTGAACCCCTTCATAAATGTTACTTTACTCACATTCCAACAGCACGTCAAGTATTAAAAACCATATGTCTCCATTCACTCCTATCAAACACGCTCACACATGCCTTCTGGAAGTCCAAGCCCCTCGCACACAAAACCTCCTTTACCCCCTCCCTCCAACCTTTCCTAGGCCGACCCCTACCCCGCTTTCCTTCCACTACAGACTGATACACTCTTGAAGTCATTCTGTTTTGCTCCATTCTCTCTACATGTCCTAACCACCTCAACAACCCTTCCTCAGCCCTCTGGACAACAGTTTTGGTAATCCCGCACCTCCTCCTAACTTCCAAACTACGAATTCTCTGCATTATATTCACACCACACATTGCCCTCAGACATGACATCTCCACTGCCTCCAGCCTTCTCCTCGCTGCAACATTCATCACCCATGCTTCACACCCATATAAGAGCGTTGGTAAAACTATACTCTCATACATTCCCCTCTTTGCCTCCAAGGACAAAGCTCTTTGTCTCCACAGACTCCTAAGTGCACCACTCACCCTTTTCCCCTCATCAATTCTATGATTCACCTCATCTTTCATGTGAACAGTATTTAGATAAAGGGAGGTTTTTATTGCATTTATGGATTTAGAAAAGGCATATGATAGAGTGGATAGGGAAGCAATGTGGCAGATGTTGCAAGTACGTATATGGAATAGGTGGTAAGTTACTAAATGCTGTAAAGAGTTTTTATGAGGATAGTGAGGCTCAGGTTAGGGTGTGTACAAGAGAGGGAGACTACTTCCCGGTAAAACTAGGTCTTTAATATATTTATAGATGGGGTTGTAAAAGAAGTAAATGCCAGGGTGTTCAGGAGAGGGGTGGGATTAACTTATGGGGAATCAAATACGAAATGGGAATTGACACAGTTGCTTTTTGCTGATGATACTGTGCTTATGGGAGATTCTAAAGAAAAACTGCAAAGATTAGTGGATGAGTTTGGGAGTGTGTGTAAAGGTAGAAAGTTGAAAGTGAACATAAAAAAGAGTAAGGTGATAAGGGTATCAAATGATTTAGATAAAGAAAAATTGGATATCAAATTGTGGAGGAGTATGGAAGAAGTGAATGTTTTCAGATACTTGGGAGTTGACGTGTTGGCAGATGGATTTATGAAGGATGAGGTTAATCATAGAATTGATGAGGGAAAAAAGGTGAGTGGTGCGTTGAGGTATACGTGGAGTCAAAAAATGTTATCTATGGAGGCAAAGAAGGGAATGTATGAAAGTATAGTAGTACCAACACTCTTATATGGGTGTGAAGCTTGGGTTGTGAATGCAGCAGCAAGGAGGCGGTTGGAGGCAGTGGAGATGTCCTGTCTTAGGGCAATGTGTGGTGTAAATATTATGCAGAAAATTCGGAGTGTGGAAATTAGGAGAAGGTGTGGAGTTAATAAAAGTATTAGTCAGAGGGCTGAAGAGGGGTTGTTTAGGTGGTTTGGTCATTTAGAGACAATGGATTGAAGTAGAATGACAGGGAGAGCATTTAAATCTGTAGGGGAAGGGAGGCGGGGTAGGGGTCGTCCTCGAAAAGGTTGGAAGGGAGGTTTTTGTGGGCGAGGGCCTTGGACTTCCAGCAGGCGTGCATGAGCGTGTTCGACAGGAATGAATGGAGGCGAATGGTATTTGGGACCTGACGATCTGTTGGAGTGTGAGCAGGGTAATATTTAGTGAAGGGGTTCAGGGAAACCGGTTATTTTTATATAACCGGACTTGAGTCCTGGAAATGGGAAGTACAATGCCTGCACTCTAAAGGAGGGGTCTGGGATATTAGCAGTTTGGAGGGATATGTTGTGTATCTTTATATGTATATGCTTCTAAACTGTTGTGTTCTGAGCACCTCTGCAAAAACAATGCTTATGTGTGAGTGAGATGAAAGTGTTGAATGATGATGAAAGTATTTTCTTTTTGGGGATTTTCTTTCTTTTTGGGTCACCCTGCCTCAGTGGGAGACGGCCGACTTGTTAAAAAAAAAAAACTATTATTATTATACATATTATTATTATTATTATTATTATTATTATTATTCAACACACTGGCCATATCCTACCAAGGCAGGGTGGCCTAAAAAGAAAAACGAAAGTTTCTCTTTTTAAATTTAGTAATTTATACAGGAGAAGGGGTTACTAGCCCCTTGCTCCCGGCATTTTAGTAGCCTCTTACGACACGCATGGCTTACGGAGGAAGAATTCTGTTCCACTTCCCCATGGAGATAAGAGGAAATAAAGAAGAACAAGAACTAGAAAGAAAATAGAAGAAAACCCAGAGGGGTATGTATATACAGTGAACCCCCGGTTTACGATCAGCTCCCAATGCGACCAATTATGTAAGTGCATTTGTACATGTATGTTTGGGGTCTGAAATGGACTAATCTAATTCACAAAATTCCTTATGGGAATAAATTTGTTCAGTAATGGCACCTGAACATACTTCTGGAATGAAATAATATCGTAAACCGGGGGTCCACTGTATATGTTTGTACAGTGGTCCCTCGTTTATCATCAATAATCAGTTCCTGGAAGTGCAACAATTATCGAAAAAGACGATTTTCGAATCAATTTTCCCCATAAGAAATAATGTAAATACAATTAATCCATTTCTGCCACCCGGAAGTATTAAAACAAAAATTTTTTTTTTACATGAAATATGGATGTAGTACACAAACAATACAATGGGACATGATGAATGAAACATTAACAGCATAACACTTACCTTTATTGGCAATTCTTCTTAGTGTATGGAAGGCTGGAGGAGGAGAGAGATTGGATTAGTTACTGTTTGGAAGGGGAATCCCCTTCCATCAACACCTCAGGTACCAAGTCCTTTTCTGGGGTTACTTCTCTTCTCTGTTTCTTAATGCCACTAGGACCAGCTTGAGAGTCACTGGAGTCCTGTCTCGCAAAAAAATTGTCCTGAGAGCTCTGTTTTTGGCATCTCTTTAAAACTTCCCTAAAATGGGCCAAGACTCTGTCACTGTACAAGCTGCCGATATGGCTTGCAACATCCTTCTCAGGGTGATATTTCTCCATAAATCCTACCCCACATTTCAAAAATCTCCTTAATTTCTGAAGAAGGCACCTTCTTCCATCTCTCTTCCTCCTCCTCTGCAGTAAGATTCTGAGCTGTGATCTGTTGCTGTTCCTGCTGAAGCTCTTGCAGCTCCTCAGTGGTTAGCTCTTTGTTGTGGTCCTCCACCAACTCTTCCACATCCTCCAAACTCGCATCCAACCCCATGGAACTCCCCAATGCCACAGTAGATTTCACAACTGACATAGGCTCATCAGGGTCAGCCCCAAACCCTTCAAAATCCCTCTTGTGGACACAATCTGGCCACAATTTTCTTCAAGTAACAACAGCTTCCTTGATTTCCTTTTTCTTTGCCACGATGGAAGATATGGTTGTATGGGGTTTGTTATACATCCTGGCCAGTTCGGCCACATGTACGCCACTTTCATATTGTTCAATGATGTTTTTCTTAAACTGAATCGTATTTCTCACCTTCTTTACCAAAGGCTTAGCACTAGGAGCTTTCTTTGGAGCCATGGTAGCTTATTTAGCACTTGCAAGCACTAAAATGAATGGAATATTATGAAACATTTTGTATGAACAAATGAAGGGACCGTCGCTCACTGGTAACAACGGCACACTGGCTGGGAAGGGAGGCCAAGGAGGCTCAGAGCCGTGAGTACGCGTCCAGGACGAACGACGATTAGCGATTCAACCGACCATTTGCAAGCCAATGTTTGGACGAAAATAACGCGATGATTTCCGAAAAGGACGACTATCGAGCATGACGATTGTCAAGGGACCACTGTACATGAATGTGTAGTGTGACCTAAGTGTAAGTAGAAGTAGCAAGATGTACCTGAAATCTTGCATGTTTTCTTCTTTCTTTCTTTCAACACACCGGCTGTATCCCACCGAGGCAGGGTGGCCCAAAAGGAAAAACAAAAGTTTCTCCTTTTACATTTAGTAATATATATACAGGAGAAGGGGTTACTAGCCCCTTGCTCCCGGCATTTTAGTCGCCTCTTACAACACGCATGGCTTACGGAGGAAGAATCCTGTTCCACTTCCCCATGGAGATAAGAGGAAATAAACAAGAACTAGAAAAAATAGAAGAAAACCCAGAGGGGTGTGTGTATATATATGCTTGTACATGTATGTGTAGTGTGACCTAAGTGCAAGTAGAAGTAGCAAGACATACCTGAAATCTTGCATGTTTATGAAACAGACAAAAGACACCAGCAATCCTACCATCATGTAAAACAATTACAGGTTTTCGTTGTACACTCACTTGGCAGGATGGCAGTACCTCTCTGGGCGGTTGCTGTCTACCAACTTACTACCTAGGTATTATTATTATTATATAAATAATTTGTATTTTTTATTCACACAAAAAATATAAGATTTACTGTTATTCCTTATTGCAATAATTGTATAAATAATGTCAACCCATTCATGACTGCATACTGGAATGGACAGTGATGTCATTTGTTTACTCTGAAACATAGCCAAGCAATGGACCATTTCTCCTATGTTGAGCTCAATTTCAAGGTACTTTTCGTCGTGAAAGCAATCAAAATCATATCTATTTCTGTAATATATCTTCCATTCTATCAAATGAGACCAAAAAACAAGAATGCAACCATAAAAAACATTCAAAATTACTGCTTAGGGGTGGCTAATTGCTGAGAAGTGAACTCCATTATTTATGCTTAGATTTCTTTCATTTTTGGTTTATGTTAAGAAGCATCTTTCCATCATACATTGCCCAAATTTCAATAAGAGAGTCCAACAAACAAATGAGATACAATTCCCAAGATCAAGAGCCCCTCACCAGTGTCAAGGAACCTACCTTGAGGTCTGCTCGCTTATGGAAATTTTGCTCACGTATGGAAGCAAAAAATCAACCCATTGACTGCTCGTATTTGGAAAAACTCGCATGTGGACATGGTTGTAAGTAGAGGTTCCACTATATTACAAAAATCCTTGTATGGAACTGTGTGCTTCACAGTTCCAGTGACTCGGTGTTTGGCTGTTGTGCACATGTCTGAGATAAGACGCTGCATGCTAGGTAGAGAGCACTGTCACTGACACAATGCCGACCCTGTTGTGCAAGTATAAGGTAGTGTTTCTTTTTGACTCAGCGACATGTATTATGCTTAAAAACCATGTACCATATTCTTGAATGTGATAAAGTGTAGAATTAGATGATTATCATGCTTCCAGCTATTTTATTTAATTCATAGTTTTTTTCAGTTCTTTTATTTTACAGAAAATTCAAATAATTTAATCATGGTCTCCTTGCACCCCCAAGAAATAAGTTCTGTGACTGTAAGTGAACTTCAACAGCTTAAGTGTTTCACAGTTCTCTCTCCATGAGAAAGTTACAGTTAAGAAAAGAGGCCATTCAACACCTTTTATATGCATGTTTCATTTTACACAAAATTAAAACAATGACTAAAAATTTTCTGAAGCAGCACCTCCACTAATTTTAGCTACGAGTCGCCACTGATGCTGACATCACAATTCAGATGACCCTTTGACTATGACATTCTCAACTTACCTTCAGTGTGTTCTGCCTACCTCCAGGAATCAAGTTCGGCTCACCAGTTTCAAATACAAATACAAATTTTTATTTCTTTGTAATGGTTACAAAGTGTGATTTACATTTTAGAAAATGTTAAGTACAAAGAAAGCCATTAACATGCCTGAGGATTATGGAGCGGTAAATTTTAATTATTCGTTATGTTACAACAGTACAATTTTTAAATATGTATTAATATTTTATATAGATCTAGCTGTTCTCTGAATTCTTTCACAGATTCAAACACCATATATGTTAAACACCACTTATCTCCACTCACTCTTATCTAACATGTTCACACAAGACAGCAGAATGCTCAAACCCCCACCACTCAAAACACCCTTTACTCCCTCCCTACAACCCATCTCACCTCTAAATTATATACCTTTAGTGACCCCACAAATTCTTTCAATTTCTACACTCCGAATTCTCTGCATGATATACACACCATGCATTGCTCTCAAACATAATATCCCCATTGCCTCTAGCTTCCTCCATGTTGCTACATTCAAAACCTATGCCTCACACCCATATAAAAGTGTTGGTACATTGCCCCCCCCCTTCCTTTTTTTTTTTTGTTCTCACAAACAAACTTCCTTCCCTCCATAGCTGAATCAAACTACACCCACCTCATTTGCCTCGTCTATTCTATGGTTCATATTGTCTTTCACAGACCCATCTACTGACATGTCCACTCCCACATATATAAATACATACATTCACTGCCTCTATTCTCCCTCCCTCCAATCTGATATTCAACCTTTCATTGCTGGCACTTTTTATTACTCTCATCACCTTGCTCTTTTTTATGTTCACTTTCAGTTTCCTTCTTTTACATACCCTTCCACAATTATCCACCAACCATTGCAATTTACCTTTAGAACCTCCCAAACCTCCCATACCTTTCCCCCAACATCTTAGCATTCACTTGTTTTAGAACTTCATCTATAAAAATTAAAAGACTTACATCATTCTTGTTCTTTTCAGAATACAGTGCATCAAATTTTATAACATATTAGTTACAGACCTGGCGGAGGGTTGGTTCTTCGTTCATTGACCCTGAGTGTGCCATTGTGTGTAGTGGTGTCATCCTCGTCACTAGAGTGCGAGGAGGCTAGATCTAAGGAGCGGTGATCTAAGCTCAGCTCACTTTCACTCTCACTCTCGCGACGTTTACTGCTGCGGGCTGCTGCACCTGAAATATAACACTCTTGAGCTGAAATTGTAAATACACTATTTTTTTTAAATATATACAGTAATACCTTGCACAATATGGTTTTGCACCCACGAAAGAATTCACATTGGATGAACTATCAATGTTAATTGTGAAAGTGTAAGATGCCCGTGCCTTCATAATGAATGTAGATCCAAACATTGAAAGAGGCATTAGAGTTAGGCATGTCTTACCAAATAATACTCGTTTCTATAAATATATGTATGCTGATAAAAAGAAGAAAAACTGTGCAAACTATTTTTCAAAATAAAAATAATTTTTTTTCTTTACAGTATGTATGGTACAATGTTTATTTACAACTGTAATAAAATATTTTCAGTAATTTTTTTTTTTTGTGTAACAAACCGACCATATCCCACCGAGGCGGGGTGGCCCAAAAGAAAAAAAACAAAGTATTTCTTTTTAAATTTAGTAATGTATACAGAAGGGGTTACTAGTGTGTGCAAGAGCTTCATGTGGATTGATCTGTACTGAGCAAATAGCTAAATATTTTTGCGATCCAACACATTTACTGAAAAGTTACTTAAAAAACTCCTAAATAATCTAAGACTGCTCAAGTATTTGATCATTTAAACTTGAAACTGTTTCAGTTTCATTATTGTATATTGTGCTTGATGATTACTCGACCATTTACTCATTACTTCAAACTTATAAGTGTTTCAATATCATTGTTTTAAATTGTGCTAAATTGTAATACTGTATTTTTTTACAAACTATATCAAAACTGTAAATATTCTCTATTGAACAAATATTAAATTTTCTTCTATTAACTGTAACTTGCCTAAGGACTACAGTAGGGCCCCGCTTTACGGCGTTTTGCCTTACGGCGTTCCGCTAATACAGCGACGTCAAATTATGACCAAAATTTGCTATACGGCAACTGGTCTTTCAAATATGGCGCGCCCCACCCGGTTTGTGTACATTCTCCGTGACCACATCCATTACGTCTGGAAACTTTCCAAAATTTCAAGTGTTTTATAGTTATTGTGTATTTTATATGTACTCTGATAATTATACTACTTATGTGTACCTGTACCTAAATATACATACACACTGTGCTGGTGTGCAGGTACTCATTAAAATCGCTACGTCTCTCTCTACTCATGACACCAATACTACGTAATAATAATCACTCTTGGGCACACTAAATGTCTTATTTTACATTAATATAGTCATTTTCATTAATCCAGCTATGATATTTTCCTCAAAATTATATATGAAATCCGTTACATAGCATATAAACATGATACATACACTCACAGAATAAAAATTGATGTAAATATGAGATTTGTTTACAAAGCAGCTATGTAGGTAGTGTCGGAAGAATTACGTTTTCTCTAGTCAAACTGGGGGATAACTGTAGAAAAATATTCTTTTCATATGCCTTTACTCTATATATAGCAATTCACAACCCTTGTGGGTTTAGTGCTTTTTATAATAATAATAATAATAATAATAATAATAATAATATTATTATTATTATTATTATTATCTTCATTCACTCTAAAAATGGGGTGTTGCTGTTTGTGTATTCTGTACTAACTTGTACAACTTGTACACAATGTAAGAGTATTTGTATTGTGAGGTAATTATTATAATAAAAAATATTGAGGTAAATGTTTTACAAACTCTTACAAACATACGTGAATGAACTAAAAGTAGACATATTAATACACATTTATTTAACCTGACCAAGTGATCGCCCACTACCTGTTCAGTTTGTGTTCTTACATTGTCTCAACTCTGTATCTCGTTCACTCTTTCGTTAACTAGTTGGCTCTCATTGACGATGGCATCTAAGGTTAGCTGTGATAAAAAGAGAAGTTGTAAGCCTCTTGCTTTAAGTGCCAAGTTAGAGGATGATGGTGTGCCATTCTGATTTTATTCAATAAACACCCTGCCACTCACCTCTCACACATTAACATTAATATTTTAAGGTAAGTAATAAGTGTACTCTGTGTGTATCTTACCTTTTATTGTGTTTTTAATGCCTACTTCTATTGCTAACTTAATATAAGTTAATGTAAACTTGTTGTCTGGCATTTATTGCATATTTTATATGTGCTCTGATAATAATACATGTGGACCTGTGTGGGAGCCGGGTGGAGGGACAACATTGTTTTCTCTGCTCAGCCATCAGAGACAATGTGTATGAATCTGCGTTTGGCCCAGCCACTCCCCCACTCCGCTTCTGTTTACAATTTTCGGCATGAATTATTCATTACTTCTCCCTTCGTTTATGATGGCATCTAAAGGTAATTAGAAATTAGTAAATTCAGTGAACAAGGTTATGTCGATGCCAATAATATGGCATCTACCCATCTACCCAAAACCTCCATCTCCCCATCTACTAACTCCCATACTCTGTTTTTAACTGACAAATCCATTCATTCTCTAGGCTTTCTTAACTCACTCCAAAATTTTTTCTGATTTTCATTAAAATTTCTTGACAGTGCCTCTCCCACTCTATCATCTGCTCTCCTTTTGCACTCTTTCACAACTCTCTTCACCTTTCTTTTACTCTCCATATACTCTACTCTTCTTATAACACTTCTGCTTTATAAAAACCTCTCATAAGCTAACTTTTTCTCTTTTATCATACCCTTTACTTCATCATTCCACCAATCACTCCTCTTTCCTCCTGCACCCACCCTCCTATTACCTGGAGTTTACCTGGAGAGAGTTCCGGAGGTCAACGCCCCCGCGGCCCGGTCTATGACCAGGCCTCCTGGTGGATCAGAGCCTGATCAACCAGGCTGTTACTGCTGGCTGCACGCAAACCAACGTACGAGCCACAGCCCGGCTGGTCAAGAACCGACTTTAGCTGCTTGTCCAGTGCCAGCTTGAAGACTGCCAGGGGTCTGTTGGTAATCCCCCTTATGTATGCTGGGAGGCAGTTGAACAGTCTCGGGCCCCTGACACTTATTGTATGTTCTCTTAACGTGCTAGTGACACCCCTGCTTTTCATTGGGGGGATGTTGCATCGTCTGCCAAGTCTTTTGCTTTCGTAGTGAGTGATTTTCGTGTGCAAGTTCGGTACTAGTTCCTCTAGGATTTTCCAGGTGTATATAATCATGTATCTCTCCCGCCTGTGTTCCAGGGAATACAGGTTTAGGAACCTCAAGCGCTCCCAGTAATTGAGGTGTTTTATCTCTGTTATGCGCACTGTGAGGGTTCTCTGTACATTTTCTAAGTCAGCAATTTCACCTGCCTTGAAAGGTGCTGTTAGTGTGCAGCAATATTCCAGCCTAGATAGAACAAGTGACCTGAAGAGTGTCATCATGGGCTTGGCCTCCCTAGTTTTGAAGGTTCTCATTATCCATCCTGTCATTTTTCTAGCAGATGCGATTGATACAATGTTATGGTCCTTGAAGGTGAGATCCTCCGACATGATCACTCCCAGGTCTTTGACGTTGGTGTTTCACTCTATTTTGTGGCCAGAATTTGTTTTGTACTCTGATGAAGATTTAATTTCCTCGTGTTTACCATATCTGAGTAATTGAAATTTCTCATCGTTGAACTTCATATTGTTTTCTGCAGCCCACTGAAAGATTTGGTTGATGTCCGCCTGGAGCCTTGCAGTGTCTGCAATGGAAGACACTGTCATGCAGATTCGGGTGTCATCTGCAAAGGAAGACACGGTGCTGTGGCTGACATCCTTGTCTATGTCAGATATGAGGATGAGGAACAAGATGGGAGCGAGTACTGTGCCTTGTGGAACAGAGCTTTTCACCGTAGCTGCCTCGGACTTTACTCTGTTGACTACTACTCTCTGTGTTCTGTTAGTGAGGAAATTATAGATCCATCGACCGACTTTTCCTGTTATTCCTTTAGCACGCATTTTGTGCGCTATTACGCCATGGTCACACATGTCGAAGGCTTTTGCAAAGTCTGTATATATTACATCTGCATTCTTTTTGTCTTCTAGTGCATCTAGGACCTTATCGTAGTGATCCAATAGTTGAGACAGACAAGAGTGACCTGTTCTAAACCCATGTTGCCCTGGGTTGTGTAACTGATGGGTTTCTAGATGGGTGGTGATCTTGCTTCTTAGGACCCTTTCAAAGATTTTTATGATATGGGATGTTAGTGCTATCGGTCTGTACTTCTTTGCTGTTGCTTTACTGCCCCCTTTGTGGAGTGGGGTTATGTCTGTTGTTTTTAATAACTGTGGGATGTCCCCCGTGTCCATGCTCCCTCTCCATAGGATGGTAAAGGCTCGTGATAGGGGCTTCTTGCAGTTCTTGATGAACACGGAGTTCCATGAGTCTGGCCCTGGGGCAGAGTGTGTGGGCATGTCATTTATCGCCTGTTCGAAGTCATTTGGCGTCAGGATAACATTGGATAGGCTTGTGTTAACCAAATTCTGTGGCTCTCCCATAAAAAATTCATTTTGATCTTCGACTCTCAGTCTGGTTAGCAGCTTGCTAAAAACTGAGTCATATTGGGACTTGAGTAGCTCACTCATTTCCTTGCTGTCATCTGTGTAGGACCCATCTTGTTTAAGTAGGGGCCCAATACTGGACGTTGTTCTCGACTTTGATTTGGCATAGGAGAAGAAATATGTTGGGTTTCTTTCGATTTCATTTATGGCTTTTAGTTCTTCCCGCGATTCCTGACTCCTATAAGATTCCTTTAGCTTAAGTTCGATGCTTGCTATTTCTCTGACCAGTGTCTCCCTACGCATTTCAGATATATTGACCTCTTTTAGCAGCTCTGTTATTCTTTTCCGTCGCCTGTAAAGGGAGCGCCTGTCTCTTTCTATTTTACATCTACTCCTCCTTTTTCTTAAGAGGAATAAGCCTTGTGCATACATCGAGTGCCACCAAGTTAATCTGTTCTAGGTATAAGTTGGGGTCTGTGTTGCTTAGTATATCTTCCCAGCTTATATCGGTAAGGACTTGGTTTACTTGGTCCCACTTTATGTTTTTGTTATTGAAGTTGAATTTGGTGAATGCACC